ATCATGATCCCGTAGTGTCCCTCTTTCCAATCTTTGGGCTCAAACTATCCATGTGCTGCAAAATGTACATACAAAGAGTGAGATTGTTCACTTTTTATAGATATTTGTACATGCAGATTGAAAATTAAACTTTTTACCACATGTGGAGGAAAAAGTGAGGTTTTCATTTTGTGCTTGCCATAGTTTTCACATGCAGTGTCCCTATGGAGTCTGGAGAAGTTTGGAATTTGGTGTCAAGATCTGGATAAATGTGGAAAATATCTTTTAGCCTTTCCTTCCTAACTTTTGGCATCTCATCCTCTTATTTTGAACTTTTTTTCTCATATATACTTGTTCTTTCCTTGTCCTTCCTTCTTTCATTCTAGTTTTTCTTTTTTATAGTTCCTTACTCTTCCTTCCCTCATTATGTTACTCTATATTTAAAAATGAACACAAATAACTGAAAACTGTTGAGTTTATTCTGAAACATGGAGTGGCCCTCCATTTAAGCGCTTGTTTTTTTTTTTTAAACAAGTTTTTTTTATTTTTTACCCTTGTAGAAAAACATGGGTAAAAGATGCAACAAATAACATGTATATATTTATATTATATATAATATGTATATTCAAACATGGTTGATTAAATCACTCAAAATGAAAAAGTCATGTTAGTTTGCAGTTAAAATCCCATTTGTAATATAAACATGCTAACATGTAGGCTTAGTGTGTGGCTATATTTACTCTTCTTCCCACAGCTGGGCAGGAGGGTAAAAATAATCAAAGAAAGCCATTTTCAAAAACTATTTCCTACAATATCAGATACTGAATCCACATTTTTAAGAAAATGCTAAACAGGACAAACGGAAAGCTTCCAGTACAGATTTATCTTGCATTTCATTCTGTCAAATTCTGCAGGTTTTGTTGCACTGTTACTGCATAAATGATAACACTTAAAAACAAATGTGGAAGCAACATATTAAAAAAAAAGAGACCCTACAAATTCCTCTGTTAATTCCTTTAATTGTGAAGATGTATGTTGATGGGGAGGGGAAGGGTTCAGTCTCCCTTCCCCATTGAGTCACATGCCAAGGGCCATTTAAAGCCTTTGTGCTGGTGGACAGTAGAATGAAAACCTGGGTGGGGTGGAGGTGGAGGACATGTGAAGGTGGGTGTCAAAGGCAGGAGGATCGTTAGGGAGGAAAATCAAAAAGCCGTCAGGCCTGTTTGTGGGGGATGACTGCTGCTCAACAGGAGGGACAGGAATCCAAGTGTTGGTATTTTATCAGATCGGGAGCAAAATGAAAGCTGGAATCTTTTGTCACAATTCCTGTATTTGCTACCTGGAATTGCAAGAATGAGAGAAAATGTAGTCTTTTGATGTGCTTTTTTGGGTAGTCTTCACCTAAATCAGACATTTTAGTAGTTGGTAATCATTATTTTTGAAGTAATGTCCACAAACAAGACGGCTTAAACTATGTGGGCCCGTAGAAGCGCCAATAAAGTACCTGTAAAGAGCATTGCAAAAGATGAATGACGTGAAGCTAACTAAGTGAAATAAAGTTGAATCAAACTTTGTATGCTTGAGGTATCATACTGACAAATTTAAAACAGAAACTTTTTCTCAGAAAAAATGAGAAAAAGAAACTTATTTTGGGAACTTTTGGACAGGTTTCCCTAGTTGGTAAAAGTTGGGGAAAGTGTGTATTCCAAATTTTACAGCAGCAGTCTTATCAAAAAGGCACAACTGAATCTCAAAATTTATAAAATGATCAGGGAGGGGGTTTATCTGCAGCACAGGGAGGCCATCACACTCGGTAACTCAATAAAAAGGGACTAGGAGGTCAATACAGTTTTTGTCTCCATGCTTCCTTTTCATCACTCACTTTCCCCTTTCTGCTATGGCCTGGATCAGTCCTGTAAGCTGAGGTCACCTAAAACACACATTTAAACACAAGATCTGAGACATCTGTGGGGGTTTCTGGCTAAATACTCACCCTCCCCACCTCACTGTACCAGCTATTCATCAGTTGGTCCCCTTCCCCCCTCTTTTGGACTCCCTGAGATGAGTGCTCTGCAGATTCCCTTTCTCTCCCTCTCAAACCCAGCCTGTAGTCTGCCATCTCTCTTGCTGTTTGCCTTTTGCATGATAATTATCCTCCCAAGTCCATGGCCCAGGACAATGCTTGTAAGGATGGAGTTTGATGTCTTTTAAGCCATTGACTCTGCGGTTGTGGTCTTACAGAAGACACGAGCGCTGATCCTAAGTGTGAACTGATATCAGAAAATTCAGCATGTCACTTATCGAATGCTGCAGATATATGAGATTGTGAAAAAAAGAAAACATTCTGCATGCTTTTTAAAATCAGTTTGCAAATAAGACCTGCAAATGTGACAGACATTTGTATTCATCCCAAATTGTGTAAACCCTTCGAGGAGGAAGCTTTTGCTCCAGTTCCAGCTGCACTCTTCTGAAACATGTCTCCACCAACTTTACATATTTAAAGAGTTAAAATAGATTAAAATAAGATTCTGTCCATCGAACCCAGAGCGGATGGACAGAATCTGTCAACATCTATTTTAACGTTCATATAAATATGTTTGATTGAAACCGTTTTTCAACAGATTTTCTTTCCGCAAGATACTGTCATCACCATTTTGAGGACTCTCCCACCCAACAAGATCTGAAATAATTTCATGCATTTTCATGTGGCTGAGGAGAACTGAAAGGAGGTGGTTTTGAGCCAACATTACAGGACAGCTGTAGAAGGAAACCTGGCTGCACCATATTCCAGCAGGGCAGTCTTAGCTATAAAATTCCAAATACCTAAATAAAGGAGTTGAAAATAAAGACACAAGGACAGAAAAGCAGACAGAGAAGGGAAAAATTTCAAACAGTCTCTCGCATTGATCAGAATGGGAGAGACATAAAGACCGGAAAACTAATGCAAATGAGGTGGATTAGCAGTGTTTACCAAAAACTGATGTCGTCAATAAAGATATGTTGCTGGGAAATATTGTCTATGCTGCCCAGGGTAATTCTACAAAGTGTGACTCTGTAGCTAAAATTAGCACTATTTCATCTCCCTTCTACTTCAACATGATGCACTGCTTTGGATGAGTCTGACATAGAATGCTGTTCGTGTGCAAAGAGGTTCATTTGGGGGTTTACAAAGGTTTAAGGGTTTTTTTTCTTAATTTGTCAGCACTGTTTCATTTGGACTTTCACATTCCACAGCCACACATCACTTCTTTAAAAGCCACAGTGAAATGTCAGGACCTTGAAGGTCCAGACCACCAGGTCACCAGGAGACATTCCGGACAGAGGGGTTATTGCACCTGAAGACAGCTTGGTTCTCAGACCAGTTTTGGACCTTTAGGCCAAATAACACTGATACCACGCACAGAACCAGGGCGAAACTGCTGGCTGGAGTTTGTTTCACATGACAGAGGGTGTGAGTGAGAGAAAGAGAGAGAGGCGATCCGTGTGGGGCGGAATCAAAGGGTTGAGACTTATTGTTCTAATGTGAAAAGGAGCTAATGGTCGACCATCGCAACTCGGGATCTGAAATCCACGGGGTGCCCCGGGGCCACGAAGCACAATGGCACCCCCTCTCCCTCCCCGCAGTGCGTCTTCCTGCCGCAATCTGCGGCCAATGACTCGCGCTGGGGGGGAGCACCATCTGCAGCGATGGCCCGGCCATCCAGGCCCCTGACTGAGCACCAATCCTAGGTGAATAAGCCCTCACCTGAATGAACAGCCCATCCACTGGCCCACCACATTACCAATGCAAAATATCGCCCGTAGTTTAAGGGAAACATTGAGCCTTCGAAAATGAGACCTTTTTGAAGGCGAAATATCTATTGCAATAACTATAAACGATTTAAAATGCATATTTCTACTACAGTTGGCATAAAATACACGCATAAAAACAATTCATCCAGTTTAAAGCAAGCTTAACAAAACAACATCCTCCTAAATTAATGGCCTATATTCCGTTTTTTTCTAAAAGTGTTTTTTTTTTTCATCTTTTGGAAAGAAAGAGGTTGGGTTTGTTGTTTTCATTTTCTTCTTTCTTTGTTTTTCTTTCTTTGTTTTTCTTTTTTTTCAAAAATCATTTTGGCAAAAAACGCGTCTGAGGCCATTATTTCAGGAGGTTGACTCGGAGTGAAATTGTTCACGGGCCGCAGCTTTGAACGTTAACATCCCCCGTGCAGCGTCGCCAAAATGTGCTCCACTGTTTGCTCCAATTAATTAAATATGTCCCGAGTAATTAAGTTAGCATGTTTGATAACTGTTCCAGATTAGGGGTTTTCTTTTTTTTATGGATTAATGCAGAAGAAAGCCAAGTATTTTCACAGGGATTGTAATATCAAAGACATCTCCTTAAGAAAGCATCATTTAAACAAATGTAGCTTTATAATTCATTGATGAGGAGAGCAGTATGGCGTTACAGTATGTGTCTACAGTAGAGGTGACCCGGGTCCACTTTGCATTGTAAAGACGCTGATTTTTTCCCCCTGCTGCATCAACTATGATCCACCTGAGTTCATCTTAGGTTTGCTTCGGTTTTGCAAAATTGGCAAAGATTCTGTGAAACACGAACCCCAAACTTGTGTCAAACGACACGCCCACTTCTCTGCGGAAGAATCAAGGTCATTCACAAATTTGCGCATCAGCTGTGCGTAATCGTCCGCACCAGCCAATGGGCGCACAGATCGGTCGATCGCCGACTCCCGCGGCGGTGGAGAGCAAAACCTGTTGAGCCACAGTAAGGACAGAACATTTCAACTGAGAGCTGCTTGAGGAGAGAGTCTAATGGAGGAGGCCGTGTAGTGACGACGGTGCTATCGTTCAGGAAACTGATGCCTTCTTAAACTGTAGTCTTAGATCTTTTTTTTTTTTTTTTTTTTTAATTAGACGGGTAGATTTAATTCGAGCTATTTCTAACTTTTTGAAAATTATTTCTATAATTTGAGAGTTACTTGTAAGCGAGATTTTTTTTTTTTTTGCACTCTCGGGAAGATGTCTGACAGATCGCAGACCCCGGAGGTCCAAACTCGACCTTATGACTTCAGCCTTGCTGGCGCTTGTACCACTCAGCTTTTGGGTCAGGAAGGCATGGGCAACTCTTGTTTCCAGCTTCCTCATGGGGTTTTACCCGACCCGAGTGTGCTTTACAGCAAGCCGGCCTACGGAGGGATGACACCCGCGCCCACCCAGACGTTTCTCCCGTTTCCACCCGTCGCCAGTGACTACAGAGGATCCGATCTGCAGGCTGTGGACTTTGGGCAACCAAAGCATTGGTATCCCTTCACTGCACCCGAGAACACCGGCCAGGTACCCGGTGTGATTGCGGCCACCCAGCCAACCAACCCGAGTCCCCCGATAGCCGAGACTCGGGAGCAAATCAGATTACCCGAGATCAAGACTGAGAAGGACGCTGTATATGATTTTCTGACCGAAATGAAGGTTCCACAGTATCCGATTCCTGCACCTTCCACAAGCATGACCCACGGAGTCTTCTACCCACCGACTTGGAACCCCTCCTTCTGGCCCGGGATCACTCACATCACCCAACCAGGAAGCAATAACCCAAACCCCTCGGCCTCCTCGACATCGTCCCCGTCAACGTCTCCTTCGCCACCAAGCAATGGGAGCCAGGGGAATGCGTTTTTCAAAGTAAACGCAAGCCAGGTTCCTGCAGAGCCCCAGGCACAGAACGCGGCTCCCAACACGCGGAGCAGCGGATCCTCCAGTGGGGGTTGCAGCGACTCCGAAGAGGTAAGTTAAGATAACTCTCTTTTTAATTTAAAATAAAGGTTTATTCAGACCAATGCAATTTAAAAAAAAATTTCTGTTCTCAGGACAACCTCACCACTGAAGAACTGGAGCAATTTGCCAAAGAGTTGAAACACAAACGGATCACTTTGGGGTTCACTCAGGCAGATGTTGGCCTAGCTCTGGGTAACCTTTACGGTAGGCTCCCATGGTTTGTTTTTCTCCAGAATTTAATTACTGTATAATGATGCATGTGTATTTTTGAACAGTTCTGTCAAATCTGAATGCTGAGTTTTTGGAGACTGACAAACTTCATGCCTTGATCAATGTTCCAACTGCTTAAGAAACTCAAAACTTTCCTAGAAAAAAGCTAAATCTGTCTTTGTCAATGTAGGCAAAATGTTCAGCCAGACAACCATTTGCCGCTTTGAGGCTTTGCAGCTGAGCTTCAAGAACATGTGCAAGCTGAAGCCCCTTCTGCAGAGATGGCTGGATGAGGCGGAAACTTCTGAAAATCCTCAGGAGGTAAGTACAGCTTGCAACATCTGCCAACTCGTTTGCAAGAAAACAAAAGCTGTCCCCATGGCTTGATGGGGCTGGTCTTTTCAGGCCTACAGTAGTTGAATGTCCTGCTGAGCAAACAGGAATCAAAGCCATCTGCTCTTGTGATGCGCCACCTAGTGGGAAACCCATCTGGTTAGTGGTTACATGAATCCTGAAGTAGGCCGCATGGGTTTCCAGTCCAAGTCTAGTCCTGGACAACTGCTGCCCTATTTTGTTTTAGGTCTATTGGTGAAGGAATATCAAAAAGTTGCTCTTAGGGAGTGGACTTGTGCACTGCTGAAATGGCATAAGCTAGCTGGAGTAAATTTCTTACAGGTTTTAATTTTTCTACTACAGCTGTAATCAGCACTCATATTTTTCTTTCTTCTTCCTTTTTTTTCAGATGTACAAGATTGAGCGAGTGTTTGTCGACACCAGAAAGAGAAAGCGGAGGACCAGCCTGGAGGGAGCGGTGCGGTCTGCGTTAGAGGCCTACTTTATCAAATGTCCCAAGCCCAACACTCAAGAAATAACCCAAATCTCAGATGATCTGGGCCTGGAAAGAGATGTAAGTGTACAACAATTTCCGTAGTGTTTTAATTCATGTTTTCTAGAGTTGGCAGGTTGTATATTGATTGTTTGCTGTGGCAGGTGGTGCGTGTTTGGTTCTGCAATCGAAGACAGAAGGGGAAGCGTCTGGCCCTGCCGCTGGATGAGGAGTGTGAAGGCCAGTTCTATGAGCAGAGCCCTTCACCATTGAACATGGCCCCTAACCCCATCCAAGGCCAAGCCTACCCATCCTCCAGCTACTCCGGAGCACCTCCTCCAACCCTCTACATGCCCCAGCTTCACCGGATGTTCTGAAACATGCTCTGCACCCCGGACTGGTTGGCCACCTGACCGGTTAAACTGGTGGGTAGTCTCCCAACCAGACCTCCTCAAGCATCCATCGACACCCAACCTGAGCTGAAAATGGGATCTGATTCCAGTTGACTTGATGTGAAACAAGGCAAATATCTAGTGGGAGAGGGCTGTTTCTTTTTGACTATAAAAAAAAAAAAAAAAAGACTATAAGCCTTAATAAGCATTTGTAAATCGGTGCCTTTCTTTTCTTGCCTTGTGGATATTTTAAACTTTCAGTGTTTTGCAGATTTGTACTTTGTTTTCTGATATGGAGGGAAAGTTATAGGTTGGAGTTTTAATAGTGCTGAACCCCAAAGTAGGCTTGACCACAAATTATCCAGTCATGTCTAGTTAGTTGTGCAATACTTTATCGGAAACCGAAAGCTGTTGGTAAGATTAAATTTTGATCTTTTTTTTTTTGTTTTTTTATTTGCACAAACTTGTAATCATCACTATTGCCATAAAAAATGGGTTTATGGCTGCATGCTTTGTAATTTAAAATCAATAAGATTTTAGATGTGAAAACGGGAAAGTGTTCATCAGTATTGGCTGCTAAAATTTGTTTTACAAGTTTCTTTTTGCAACTTCCTTGTGATTTTTAGAGTTCTGTATGTTGTGGTTTGACATCCAGTACAAGTTTCTTTTTTTTTTACTTCAGCTGAAACATTTAAAGAAAATGTTCTTTACTCAAACCATGTGCATCAAGTCCTTAAATGCTGTTAAATTATGACCATGCTAAAGTAAAGTCTGATTTGCTTTGAATCTTATTTCCTTTTGTTTCATGTTAACCTGAAGATCTGACATCAGTGCATCTGTAACGTTCACTCTAGCTGTTAGCTGTTTAATGTGAAATTATTAAACTCAACAAAGCATTCTAATATATTGCGTCAGTGAGATAATCATCTGAAAACACCTCCCAAGAAATTTGCTTAAAAGTCAAGCTGCTCTTTTTTTATTGTATTTTTTTTTTCTTAAATGTTTGAACATGCAATGATTTGTCTTTTACTTCCAGTAAATCTTTTCTGATATCAAAAACCTGTTTTGTTTTGTTACTTTAAAAAAATCCTTTAATGCATATTAAAATGGGGGAAAAAAATAAGTGAAATTTCAAGCAGTTTCCTTCATACTTCCATGGAAGTATGTTTGGGGTGATGGTTAATGGGTTTTAGAGACTGGTCTTGTTTTTTTTTTTGGGCTTGGATTCCAATTGGTGAAGGTATTGAACTGTGCTGTGTTTTTTTTTTATTTTTTATATTTTTACTTTTTCTTAATGCCATGCATCCACAGATAATTTTTCTGATACCAAGGTCAAGTTATGAGGCTGAAGGGGTATTGCATATTTGTGCAACACTATATCAGAAACTGAAAGCTGCTACAACATGAACATTTTTCCCTTTTTTTGCACAAACTTCACCTTAACTAGCTTAAAGGAAGAGTCTGCAATGCAGCAGAATAATTACAATTTATTCCAATGCTGTGCATTTTTAAGATGTTGCTAAATTAAATTAATTGCAAAATCCACTTAGTAATAAGCTGTACTTTCCATAAATGTACAGCAGTAAATGTTTTTCTTAAATTAAAAACTGACTTGGAAAATCTGCACTTGTATTACAGTCATAATTGTGATGCCAAAGATTTAACATGTACAAGTTTTTCTTAGGTTTTAATGATGTTATGACAGTATGTTATCAATTCAACAAACCAATCATGTAAAATGACCACTAAAGTAAATATCTATATACAACACATTTTCTTTTCTGTGGGTGTTACTAAATGAACCATTTAAAAGAAAATTGCACAAAAGGGCTACCCAGTGTAAGTGCAAAAATATGTTTTCAAACAAATAACCAGAACTTTATTTTAACTTGAAAATACAATTGATAATTAGCTTACAATTAACTGTTAATTTACAGTATTTTAATTTTATGTTGGTATAAAATATTTAACCTTCTGTCCATTACAGTGCACATCATGCATCAATAGCTGTGTTCTCTTTAATGCAATAAAAAAAGAAGAAAAAAAGGATGATGGGTGTTGATGAGCATGTATGGCAAAATTAGCAAGCAAGCTTTTTTTTCTTTGTTTTGCAATTGCGCCTACAGAGGAGACGCTGCAAGATGTGAGGTCCCTTAAATGAAATTGGATTTTAAATTGGATCTTAAATTGGATTTTTTTTAAATGTATATTTTAGTATTTCTGAGTACTGAGGCAATGAAGGAAGGAAAAATTCTTTCTCATACATTTTTAAGGCTTCTCTGAGAGAATATTCTATTGTTTTTGCGGTTAGGGTTGCGGCTGACAAACTGGTGAAACAGTATTCAATATGAAAGTAGAGCAATCATGGAGTGGATAAACATCCTGGCCACATCTTCTGAAAAGCATCGGATTGTTAGGGTTAACACCTGTTGAATATACATTAACAAAGACAGTTAGATTCTTTCTTACTCGCGAGAACGGACAGAGATGTGCTTTCTCCTACCGCTCTGAAAACACATTTGCCTGCTCCTCTCTTTTTATTGTTTTCAGGATCCCTAATCACAAGGACGCTGTCGCTCTAAAGGGAGAGGAAAACAACTCATCACATAGCTACAGCGTCAAATGTCATTCACTAACTAACACACAATCATTCTGCACTAGATAATCTCCTTCCAGGCACATAGACTAATAAAATATGTAGTGATCTTATCAATGATGGTTTTATTGCAGGCCAGCAACTCAACCGAAGCAGAGCTCTTCACCAAGAGGTAAACCTGCAGGAAGACTGTTGTCTCTGCTCTCTGATTCCTTCTGAGAAAGGAATCAGAGTAAATCAACAATACAAGAAACATTCTTAATTCTATTATAAGATAAATAAAGATACATTATGAAGATCAATGAGAATAACAAATATTTGATTAATTATATCACAATTTCTCCAACAGGATTTGGTTAGATTTTGGAAGGACGACTTTTGTGCATGACCTTGATTTTTGATGTTTTAAAGGAGCAGTTAGGCAACTCCAAAGAGTTGCAGTTGCATTCTTTACCTTTTTCTTTTTTTTACCACATACACATGCATCAGTATGTGTATGTAGTACTTCATCCTGGCATGCACCAATAACAGATTATTCTAAAACTGTAAGTTGTTTGCAAAACTTGCCAGGAATTGACACAAAACAGGTCAAAACACAACCACATAGACACGCTTACAGTTGTAAACAAATAGTAATTTTATTACGTTTTGTTGGAGCTTTCAAAAGAGTTGGGTATTCTGGAAGCGTGAAAAATTACAGAAAGCGTGAAAAACTACAGAAAGCAAGTTCTGTGCTCAATCATAAAGTTTGCAAAAACTAAGAAACTAACAAACCCTGATGTCCTGTCTGCTCTGGTTTTCATGTCATTTCCTTCTACAGAGAACTAAATACTAAATAAATAAAATTATTAATGCAATCTGTTAGAAAAGCTTTTGGAATTAGTTTACTATTTATATTTTCAGTACCTGAAATCAAGTTAATTTCATTTAGTTTACTGCCGTACAAATTTACGTGAGAGACATGGTAGATGGAGCGTCTAACCACATTAGTCTGACACAAACCACAGGAAGTGTCTAGACCAATCTTGTTCCTCCATTTTAGTGGAGTATTTGTGAAATACTGTCTGAAAACAGTGTGTAAACTGATACAGTTATGGAGAAGTCCAAATGATTCAACATCCATTAATAATGCAAATTGAATAAATGTGTGCAAATTTCTTTTGTTTGTTAGTGACTTATTGGTGATGTTTAATTAAATACTTTGTTTTTTATTTCTAAAAAGTGCAAGTTGGCAAAGTTAATTTATTCACCCTGAAAACTCCTACATTATTACTTGTTACTTAATAAGGCATCGTTTCACGAAAGAGTTGTGAAACCTTTTTGCTTTTCAAAATGGCGATTTTATATATATATATATCAGTTTATTGTAGTTTGGTATTTTGTAAAGATCCCAGCACACATTTCCCTTTAGAGTTAACGTGCCGCCAAAAGGCCAGTACCAGATGAGAATGGTCACACTCCCTCCTCCTATTGAGTAACTGAAGTAGGAGAATTTAACTTCTCTTTGCAATCCACAATACAAGATGAGAAGCAAAGCCACAATGGTGCAGAAGATGATACCTTTATTGATAGATCTGCCCTCCATCTTTTTAGCTTGGCCACTTTCCTGTTATGAAAAACAAAGCAAGTTTTACATCTGAAGTACTGTACCATACATCTTGCACTTAAAAAAAATTTCTAGTTACAACCACAAACTATAATGCTTTTGGCAGAATCAAAGACAAACACAAACTATTTAAATTTGACATTGACTTCATATTTCATCCACTTTATCATATTCTATTCCTAAAAATATATATATCATGTTAAATTATTCCTTCTTCAGAAACATTTCTGGAGTTTTGCTTAGATTTTTTCATAAATATTAGAAAAAACCTTAAAGGTGCATTTCTACTGGCATATTGTGTACTAACCGGTTTGTAACACAAATAGTTAGCTTGTGGTCTGTTACTCTGCATCATGGACAGGATGTAAGTGTGCAGCAGCTGTGGTCACCTCTCCGCTGGTTTCTGCACCGATGGAGAACATGGAGGTTCTTTTCTGGCTCAAGTATAATGACAAAGACTCAGATCTGCTGATTATTTCACTATAAATGTAAGTAAAAAAATTTTAAATGAGGAACCTTTTGGCTTTAGGTAATATCAAAAAATATACATGTATGAATGCATGCATACACACACACATATATAAAAAGAAATATGGAATACACATCTCAAGCTAATATTATGCAGTGCCGCTGTTTCACACTATCACATAAAATTCCCACAAAATACATTGTTTGTCATCTTAACATGACAAAATCTTAAAATGTTCATAATCAGTAACCATTAACACATTTGGAATGGCAGTGTGTATACTTTACACAACACATTGCAATTTTTCATCATTTTGTAACCCTGCAAAATGAATTTAATTCACCAGTCTGTCCAGCTCAATACAATGTACATAAACATGAAGCCTGGAGGTTTACATTTGAATTAAATTAATCATTTTTACCACTGTCATTCGGTTCATGTCTAACCACTTCAAACCACTTCAGAAAAGCAGCAGGTAGAATATATTTCAAAAGATCCGAAAAAGACGCGAAAAGTTCAAACAGAAGTATGCGTAACCGATGTGAAAAGTGAGACCTCATAAAAAACTCCTACACAGCAAAAAGTCCAGTGTTAATTTAACTCCGAGAGTTGATTTTAACACTTTATCAGAGTTACTTATTTAACTCACAAAACAGGATTCATTTAACACTGTGGGATATAATGGATAACACTGATCCAGAAACAAAAATGTACCACTTTATTAGTGTTGATTTAACACTACTTTCAAGTGTTATTTATTCCAAAAAAAGTTACTTTATGATTATGATTAATTATAATAATTATTAAGAAAAAGAACTTGACACAAGTACATACATTTTGAACACTTTATTTTTGCAGCTGTGTTTCCAACATTTTAAATTGTGGTACGATGACATTCATTAAAAATGAATGTCATTCATTAAAAATGTATTAGATCTGACATTCATTAAAAATGCCGTAAGTTTTGAATATCAAAAGGCTTATGAAATTTAAGTTCAGGGATTTTTACTAAATGCCTTTCTTCACTTTGAACAATGATGATGATCAAATGTATCCGCTTGGATACAGTTTTTGACACATAAAAACAGGTCAACATGTTTTAGCCTGACTTACTCACAAGAGAGCGCAACGGACTCTTTAGCAGCCTTGCTCTCACGTCCCTAACTCTGGGCGATTCCTTCATTTTGCCCATGTCAATGTTATACATTGATGTCTGCAGAAATGTGTAGAAATTCATCAATGCAGGATCATAAGAGACATTAAACACAAAATGTGCTTTGAATAGTTCATCAAATGCTCCAAGAGAACTGTTTGTCTGGCATGGGATGAGGCACTTATCCATGACGATGTAGAAGCTGTCAATCTTGCTTTTCTGACGCCCAACAGCAAGGAGGTATGGCTGCAGACCCCATTGACCCCGGAGATCCTCCTCCAAACTGCAGCATGACTAAAATTAAAAAGATATACACCAAACATTAGAAACAAAACATACAGCTTTACGATACATGTGACATAAAAATTAATTTAAGTATGCCCAGACATCTTCAAAGTTGTCATTCAAACATCTGTATTTATGCGTGTCTATAAAAGGAAATAGACAAATAATTTTGCATATTTTAAATTTCAATTACCTTATGAAAGACAACAAGTCTCTCAACTGCATCACTTGCACTGATTTTTGGAGACTTCTGTCCTGGTTGCGGTGGAAGAAGATGTAGAGAAGTAACAGCGAGGCCATTTCTTGGTCATAGCCTGAGGACAAATTTATAAAAGTTTTCAGA